TTCTTTCAAGGTCTTTTCCTACCATTCTCCCGGCCTCACCCCCTACTTCTGTTTATTCCCAATCAAGGTTTACTGCATCAAACTACACAAAACTATTTCATCTTCTCCCCGACTTAGGCTTCAGGACAGGTTCACTTTCAGAGCCTCCCAGGCACTAAATACTAGCTTGATAACTGATACCAAGAACTGAATGTTGGATATACCCCCATCCCCAGAATTCAACCCTCAAGATGACAGTATTAGGAAATAGACAGGGCCTTTGGGAAGCAATTAGATCACAGCATGGAGCCTTTGTCACTGTGATTAATAGCCTTCAAAGGGGGACTCCAGAGAGTCTCCACTCTCTTCCCAGTAAGAAAATTGGGGAAGTCACGTGGCTCTCACCGGAGTTGATCCTCGTGGACTCTGAGGCTTCAGAACGGTGAGGAATATGTTTGTTGTTTTATGAACCAGCCAGCGCATGGCACTTTGTCATTCCAGCCCAAACTGAGACAAACAGTTCTTCGGTGAAGACTGTTCCCTTGTTGGAAATTTCTAGGTAAAAGGATTCTGTGCGGAAACTAAAAAAAGAGCACTTCCTAAACGTGCAAAATTCTTACCTCTGTGACTGAAAAGCTTAGCAGAGGCTCGGCTTTCCTAAAGACCGTGTGGAAGAGCACGCAGTTAGTGGACTATGGAAGCTCTGTTCATGTTCCCACTCTGGAGCCTTCAGCCAGTGTGATAAGATAGTACATGATCTGCTTATGTTTGAAAAACAGCTCTGACATGTATTCCGTATAGGGCATGCATACAGGAGTCACTGACAAAAGGATCCTGCTAGAAAATACACATTAATGCTTTTTAACCTGTTAGCAGTTAATGAGTTCAGGGAGATAAAGTGTATTGAGTAGTCTTTATTAATGATTCACATTCGGTTACTTTTTTCATTATCAGTTCTTCAGTTAATTAATTGAACAAGTATGATAAGCTATCTTCTGTTTGCTGTGGGAATCTAAATGTAAAATAAATACAAAATACACTTGTGGTTTAATGAATACTCAATGAAGCCTTTTTTCTGAGGTATTCCTTATGGTCTGGTTTTATCCAAGCTCTGTCTTTTTATTTCCTTAAGAATAGTCTGTTAAACCACACAATGGGACCTGTGAACTTGTGAGCCAAGTCCACTGTGAACCAGTGAACCTGAGTTTTAATTACATTAGACGTATTTTTTGATCTCATCATACAATACCAATACAAAAGCACCCCCCATGCCTCTCAACACATTGGACCAGGCACCTTTGAAGAAAGCATTGGCTCCTTCGTCTTTTGCAATCTTCCTCCAGCAGTCAAGTGTCCCCGTATACATAATATCAGCTGTGGAGACAAATGTGGGTAAGGGTTCCTCTCTTCACAGAGACCTGCATGCACATTATTGGTCATCAAGCCCCAGCCTATGCAACAGTCCATGAGACGTCTGCCTGGCCTAACTGTTATCTTCTAGCACCCCTATTCCTCAAACTCAAGATCAGTTAAGTAACAATCAAACACAACTCTTTTACACACTGTCAAGACTAAAATTGGAAGGCAATGTGGAGAAGGGGCGGTATATTCTGTGGATGACGTTTTATGGATGAACAAACTAGCCCTGGTCTCAGATTACACTGCCCAAGATTATGCAAGAAAAATTAAAAGGTATGGCTGTTGAGTTATAAAAAATTCCCTCACATTTGGTGTTTTCTTTTTTTTATTTTAATGGCAGTTTCATGCTTTTACCTATGGAAGCTACACTATGAAAACAGACTGCTTCAGGCCACTTCTCATCCAGCTAATCATCCTTCTCATTCACACTTCCAATAACTATAAGGGAGCACAAGGCACACGTTTGAAGTGAACAGCTAATTCTTCGCCTTGCTCATGCACCCAGGCTGTAGAAAAAAGAGGACCTGAGCTCTAGGTAATGCCAGATACCTAGGGCCAATTCTAAATACCTTGTTTGTATTCTTACAATCTCTTTAATAAAAAGGAAAAAAGAAATTCCCTGAAGGGAAAGCTCAGGGGGAAACTGGAGTGTCGGTTTCCTAAATCCTTATTGAGTAATTCTGCCATTCAACCTAGGAAAACGAGACCTCTGGGCACTCAAGAGTGCTCTCCAGGGGCAAACCCTAAGATTCACATCAGGAGGGTTCACGGCATGCTTACCCCCTTTCCGGCCAGACTGCATCATCATCCTACGACGCACAGTGTCGAAGGGATAGGACACCAGCCCTGCGACCGCCGTCACACTCTGGGCAATCATCCAGCTCACGATAATGTGCACATTCTTGGGGTCTGGCAACATCCCTGTGAGCAGAGCCAAGAAGCAAATGGCTATCGGTTTTGGGTTGTTTTTTTTTTTTTTTCCTCATCGGCTTGGTAGAAAGCAGGTGGAGGGGAAGGCAAGGCTACTGACCCAACTCCATGTCCTGCCCTTCCACAAGAACCAGCTTCTCCCCAGGAACCCTCACACGCCACCAGGTAGCCAACCAAAGATGGCTGCTGCTGTCCCTTTATCCAAGGAAGCTACAGCTCTGTTGACATGGAGTTCCCTTCTAGTTCAACTAGACAGCTGTGTTGGGATAGCTCTGCAGCCTTTGGGTGGGAGCTCAAAGCCACAGTATTATCAGTAGAGGACACAGAGGCTCCTTTGGTTATTTACCCACACTGTATCACATCACCTCCTCAGAACTCAGCTCAGAGACAGGAAAACCAACACAAAGGTCTTTGAGGAACTATAGGTCCCACAGAATCCCCTCTCCACACCCCCTCCCCACAATGTCCACCTCAAAGTCCCTCTCACCCTTGGCAGTGTCATAAACTCCGAAGTAGGCAGCTCTGTAGATGATGATGCCTTGGACGGAGACACTGAAACCCTGGTAGAGACCCTTCAGGCCATCAGACTTGAAGATCTTGGAGAGACAGTCGCCCAGCCCACTGAACTCACGCTGGGCAGATCCCTTGCCCACGTCGGCAGCCAGCCTGGTCCTAGCAAAGTCCAGCGGGTAGACGAAGCAGAGAGAGGTGGCACCAGCTGCCCCACCGGATGCCAGGTTACCGGCAAAGTAGCGCCAGAACTGCTTATGCCGATCCACGCCCCCCAGGAAGATCTGCTTGTACTTGTCCTTGAAGGCGAAGTTGAGAGCTTGGGTGGGGAAGTACCGGATCACATTGGCCAGGTTACCCCTCCAGAAAGAGAGAAAGCCCTGCTCCTTGGGGATTCTCACGACACAATCAATGATGCCCTTGTACTGTTTCTCTGCACTGATCTGTTTGCTGGCATGCTGGACCTAGTTGGGGGCAGGGAAGGGTGGGTGACAGAGGACAGACAGGGTGAAGAGAAGGGAAGACATGAGAAAAAAAAAAGGTTTGTACCCCCTCAATTGCTTGTTTATTTTGTTTATGTTTTGTTTAAAGATACGATCATCCAATGTAGCCCAGGCTGGCTTGGTCAAAATCTCCTTGTATTTGCCTCCCAACTGCTGGGATTTCAGATGTGCACTACCATGCCCAGGGTCCTCCCATTTCCTTCCCCTTCCTCTTCACCAGGCAAAAGAAAACTTCAACGTTTTTAATGCATCAGGAAATCAAGCAGTATCAAGGAAATGTAAATAAATGTTAGTTATTTGGTTAGGCTAAAAAACAATCCAAATTTTATTCATTATCAGGGCATTTGAGGGGGGAAAAAAACTAAAAAAGTGACCGAGTCATTTATCCATCAAATTTTCCTTGCAGGCTTATGGGAAATATAAATGGATAAAGAGCCTTCCCTCAGCTCCCCATGACAATTCTGCAGTTTCTCTCGAACGTCCCTTGCGGCGAGGCTCTGATGTGAACAAGCTCACCAGGCTTTACAGCCTGAATAATTTCACGATTATCCAGGTAATCGATTATTGAGTTAATACTGCTGTGGCCAATCTGTCGCAGCATTTTGTTGCTTATTATTTAGACTCCCAAATGGCTATTCCCCAGTGAATAGCTTTTGCCTTTGGGATAGATCAGATGATGACGTTGCCCTTTGATGAACAGATAGAGAGAAAACGTTATGGAGACAGGACGGCTAAGGCAATCTGAATTTATCCTGAAAATCACTTCAGAATTCCTGCCTCAGCGTCTCCATCCGTGAAATACGGGCAAAGAATTCGTAATAAAAGATGAATGAAATCAACGTTGGGCTATAGCGCAGGGCACGCGACACGGTGTGATCCCCAGTCAACGATTAATCTGATGCGACTATTGTAAAAGGTGGGCGCAGATAAGAAGGTGCAAAGGATGCCGCCAAAGGGTGAGGCCGGCCTAAGAGGCCTTGGGTGGAACGCCGCTGCAGTAACCAGGCTCAGGATCTGGCTCGAGGTAGACCAGCTTCGGGTGGGTTTCCATATATAGACACCCCAACGCGGGTGCCACCCGACACCAGGAATCTGTCACTGACGCCGGACCTGTATCTGCGTAGAGGGCACCTTCCCCTTCGTGTAGGCCCCGGGCTTGGGGCCTAGCACTGATTTTTGCCGCAGCGCCGCCGCGCGCGCGCGCGCCCCCACCGCAGCATCCCCGCGCCCCGCCCGCATCCCTGCGCCCGGCCGCGCCCCGCCCGCATCCTCGCCGCCCGCGCCACCAAGCCGTCCTTACCTGCAGCAGCAGTTTGACCCTCTCGATCGGGGCGACCGCGGTCTTGGAGACGGCGGCGGCGATGCCACCTGCCAGGAAGTCCTTAAGGAAGCTCAAAGCCTGATCCCCCATGCTGACAGCCGGGCGCACACAGCCTGCAAGGAGCCGCTCTCTCGCTCTTGCCTACGCCCAGCCAGGCACCGCCACCTCGTCTCCGTCCCTGCGCGACGCTGAGGGGCCGCCCGCCTGACCGCAGCCCTCCTTATATCCCCGGCTCGGCGTCTCGCGAGAGGAGGAGGGACCCCGGCAAGCGCGCAGCGCGCATTGGCTGGGCAGGTGTCTGGACAGCCCCTCTCCATCACCCTCCTTTGCAGAGGGCATTGGGGGCGAAGACACTTCCGGGAGCTAGGGCTGGGTTGGGGGGCTGTGCCTGCAGCTTGGGACATTTAAAGGGCAAATTCATGTTATCTGTCCCAGCCAGCCCAGGGAACACCGTGTCACTGCCGCATGTGGACCGCTGTATTTATAGCTCAAGAGGGTTTAGCCTGGGGCTGAGCTGGGGACCGAGCTAGGGACCGAGAGGGGGCCCGATGCCTCAAGCGAAGCTCTCTTTGACCTCGATTCTGCACGATTGTGCTCCTGGCGGAGAGATTTCAGGCTGCCACCCCTTCCTCCTTGTCAGGGCGTTCCCAACTAGAGCTCGCTGCCTGGATTCGGTCCTCTGCAGAGCTCTGCGTTCCTGCAAAGAAATTATGCTCCTCCCAAATGCATACTAACATCTTTCTATGCCGCGATTGCCTCATAATGTCGGTCAAGCTCCTGTCTCCGACTTCCCTCCATTCAATCCCTGAACCATTCCATCTGTTAGGAAATATTTATGCAGCCGGCACTCGGCGCCATCAGAAAAAAGCGGAAAAAAAAAAAAGCGGAAAGCAGGGCCGCTAGGTGGATACTTGTTTTGGCAATGAATGTGGATGTGTGACTTTTCTGTTAACTCAGCCTGTCACACCGACACCAAACCTGAGGACTCCTAAGAACAAGACACTCCTTCATTAGCCTCTCATCCATCTCTCAGCTCCCGGGATTCTCTTGTAGACAGAACTCTGAAGGGCTTTGAAGGAGCGCTCTGCTGTTAATGGAATCTCAACCATATTCTGAGTAGAAGGGTTCCAGTTGGCTGGCTGCTTCCTGAGGATTAGAGCCCTCAGCCTTTCGGGAAGGTCGAATCCTTGGCTGTGTTTGCTTCTGTAATAGGCAGCTTGAGGCTGGGGAGCCCAGACGCTATCTAATCCCGGGAAAGTGATTGCAATTAATTTTTTAAATATATGGGTGTGCAATTTAGTTTCCTTTACCTCGTTTCTAAGGCAGTTCAAATATAACCATGCAGATTTTTTCCATACTGCTGTCTCTTCCTCAAGAATAAGTGCAATTAGTTGTTTTGTTGTTGTTGTTGTTTTAAACTCCAAGCCCCTTACTCTGTTCTATTCCCACAGCTGCTAATCTACCTTTGGACATTTACAAGGCTTATTCATTTTTTTTAAATGTTTACTGATCCATGCAGACTCCACGGTAGGTGTTGATTGAGCTGCAGCTGTGTGTCTCTCAGTCCTAAGACTTAGTAGAACAGAGGTCATTAGCAGGATGTCAGGAGCATAGGTGATGTATTTATTTGCAGTCGGGGCTGGTTAGAGTTGGTGAAACAAGGTGAACACTATGAAGGCTAGGACTTGTTACAATGTTGCTAGAGGTCAAAGGAGACGGAAACACTGACAAACACAAAACGCATCTATGTGTTCCTTTAACAGACACTAGCTGAGCAATCACTGTGTACCAGGAAGTGTGGGCCTCTAAAGGCAACACAAGCAGAACCTTGGGCCACCTCCAAGGACCTTGCCGTTCAGTGCCTTGGTCGGTTTCACACAGCGATTTCCATGGACGATATAATCCACATATTAGTCTTAATTATAATTGTGTATCTGCTGCCTTCTGTTCTATCAATACTGAGCAGTAACTGAAGCCATTTTTCCTTCGAATATGTATTAGAGCTGTTGCTTATTTATTTTTATGATATACATATGATTTTTTCCATTTATTAAGGATGAAAGCAAATTTGCAACCTATTTTTCTTTTATGGAAAGATAGATTTTTTTTCATACAATATATTCTGAACATGGTTTCCCCTCTTACTCTTCCCAGTTCCTCCCTACTCCCATCCAGATCCACACCCTCTCTGTCTTTCTTTAGAAACCAGTCATGTAAGGAATAATATAAAAATGAGCTAAAAACAAGCAAATATGAACAGGACAAAACAAACCAAAAAAGAGCCAAAGAAAAAGCACAAGAAACACATAGAGACACAGAAACATCCATGTTTATACTCACAGGAATCCCATAAAAACACAAAATCAGAAGCCATAATATAATTGAATGGAAAAAAAGGAAATAAAAAAGGAAGACCTGGCTGCTCCTAGGTACAGTGGAGGAGAAAGTTCATTGTAGATAAAAGGCAGAGCATAGCCAGAGGCAGGGACATCTGGAGGAGTCCAGACTCTGAGCTGAGCCATGTGAGGAGAGGGAGAAGGGAGGAGGGAAGAGCCAGACCAGGAAGCTCAGGAGGGTGAAGGGTAGACGGAAAAAGGTCCAGGTAACCAAAATGGCTGGATTATATATGGAAGGCAGCTGGGGGAAGAGCAGCCCAGCCCGGTGCTGGAGATGTTTAGGGTAGCAGGCAGGATATGCCAGTCAGAAAGACCCTGTAACAGGTAGGAACTTTGGGATGTTGGGAGAACCTGGCGGCTTTGATATATTAGATAGGTACCTCAGCCATTTGCTCCTGGTTTGAAACTTAACAGTAGGAGCTGGAGAGATGGCTCAGAGGTTAAGAGCACCGACTGCTCTTCTAGAGGTCCTGAGTTCAATTCCCAGCACCCACATGGTGGCTCACAACCATCTGTAATGAGATCTGGCGCCCTCTTCTGTATACATAATAAATAAATAAATCTTTAAAAAAAAAAAAAGAAAAAGAAACTTAACAGTAATATTCAAAGGACCTTTAAGGTTAAAAAAGAAAAGAATGCCCTGACTTAACATTATGAGACAAAAAACAAAACAAACAACAAAAAAAACCTGCCCCCCCCAGCCCCGCCCCAAGATCCTGCTGAGTTCCTCTTCTGTTGGCCCTCTACTGCTGAGCATGTGGCCTACCCTTAAGCATGGTTTGTTTCCCCAGTGAGGCTCCCTTGCAGGAAACTAACTTTTCATTTGCAAGTGGTTATCAGTTGGAGATAGCTTCTGGGTTAGGGATGGGAGTGTGTCCCCACTTTTCCTTTCAGGTCTAGGACCGCACCTGGTGCAGACCCATGCAGGCCCTGCCTCAGTATCTGGGAGTTCATATCTGCATTGATCCTGGTGCAGACCCATGCAGGCCCTGCCTCAGTATCTGGGAGTTCATATCTGCATTGATCCTGTAGATTTCAAGGGCGTAGTTTCCTTGGAGTCCTCCATGCCCCCTGGCTCTTACATTCTTTCTGCTTCCTCTTTGGAATTGTTCCTTGAGCGCTGGGGGTGGGGTGGATTTGATGGAGACATTCCATTTAGGGCTGAGTGTTCCTAGGTCTCTCACTCTCTGCCTATTTTCTGGCTTTGGTCTCTGAATTTATTCCCATCTACTGTAGGAAGAAGCATCTCTGATGATGACTGAGCCAGGCATGAATCTGTGAGGATAGAGGAATTTTGTTAGCAGAACAAGTTGTATTTGGTTTTCCAAGTCCCTGGCGGATCAAGTCTCAAGTTCTTGGTCACCCAAGCAGCATCAGGGATGGGTCCCATCTCCTGGAGCGGGCCTTAAGTCAAATCAGATTTTGCTTGGTGACTCCCACAAGTTCTGTGCCCCCATTGCATTAGCATATCTTGCAGGCCGGACACCACTGTAGATCAAAGGGTTTTGTAGCTGGGTTGGTAGTTACCTGCAGTAGTATGCAGAGTACTTTCTGGTACCATTGAAAGGACCAAGCAGATGCCATAACAGGCTGCTCAGTCTTCTCTCAGAGATCAGGCCTCAATTTCAGTTTCCTAAGACTTGAGCAAGCAGTTTCTGGCAGGGCCATGAACAAAAGACTGCTCAAAGTTTAGCCAGATGTTTACTTTCTGGGGCCCCTCACCAACTTAGAGTTATGTGCAGTACGTGCTTGACCAGCCAGCCCCCATGGTGGCTCAAGGACAAAGCCTGGGACTTGTGCTGGACTGCCCCCAAAGTAATAAATTGTAACCACCAACCAGTAAATTCAAAGGTTACATACCCTCACCCAATTAAAAGAGAACAGAGATAAAGATAAACCAATCCGAGTTGCACCCGTGCAAAACTCCCCCAACCCCCCTGAAGGGCTTGTGGATTTTGCCTTTAAAAAGCTAGCCACACAAAGAAAAAGCAAGTTCCTCCTGGCCTCACGACTACGAGTGAGTGCTTTGGATCGAGCTTCCCTGTCCGCGGCTTGTAAACAAACAGAAATAAACCATGCTAATTGCATTCTGAACCTAAGGTCTGTGGTGGTTTGTCTTTGGGGTCCCAATCTGGGCATAACACCATGAACACTAGTTTGTAGGGAGGAAAGCTCTAGATAGGCATCAGCTTAAAATAGATGTTGCTTATTTGTATTGTGAAAAAGAACGTTGCAAAAAAAAAGGAAAGAAAGAAAGAAAGAAAAAAAGAAAGAAAGAAAGAAAAGAATGTTGCTATTAAACACTCTTGCAAACCTCCGTTTTCTTTGTTTCCTTCTCAAGGGATCCCGAAATAGAATGGATACATTGAGTATTTGAAAGGTTTTGTAGTTCTACTATGTATTCAACAATTGTTCTTGGGCCACTTAAATCGCTCAGGAGGTCAAGACATCTGCTGCCAAACCTGATGACCTGAGTTTGATCCCTACGCCCAACAGGATGGAAGAAGAGAACTGACACCCTCCAGATTCACCACCACCATTGAGAAATTGGGCCCATACATACATAATGTCTTATTTCTCAAATCCTCCTCCAACGTTGGCCTAAAAAGACCATCTTTTAGTTATTAGTGGCATTTCATGAGTTTGTGATGAATTTATGTATATGCTATATGATGCATTTTAACTTGGCAGAATTTTCTTGTCTTTTTTTTGGGGGGGGGACTTTTAGTCTTCCTTGACCACTGACACAAAAGCACAGTATTTATTTTAACAATTGAGACAATAAACATTTGAGTAATTTTCATTTTGTTTCTCATTTGATTCTTATTTTTGTTTTATATTGTCCTATCAGTATTATTTATTTAGATAAAAGTGAATTACTATTTTTTTGTTTGTTTTTGCTTTTGTTTTTTGAGACAGGGTTTCTCTGTGTAGCTTTGCGCCTTTCCTGGAACTCACTCTGTAGCTCAGGCTGGCCTCGAACTCACAGAGATCCACGTGGCTCTGCCTCCAAGTGCTGGGATTAAAGGCGTTCACCATCACCGCCCAAAAAATGAATTACTATTATAAATATTATATTACAAATATTATTTATATTATAATAATATTTTCTATAAATAGATTATTGACTCTTCATAGGTATACTAGTATGTTTTCTTCTACTTTGGAAAAAAAAAACATTTTCAGTTATTTTTAAGGTGTCTAACACATGTTTGGACCTGAAGGTGCACACCTTTAATCCCAGCACTTGAAAGGCAAAGGCAAACAGGCAAGTCTCTGTGAGTTCAAAAGACCAGCCTGTTCTACATAGCAAATTCCAGGCCACTCGGGGCTACATAATAAGATTCTGTGTTAACGAAAACAAACAAAAAACATTATGACAAAAAACATTATGACAAGGACATATGGGTCCATTTTCACTTTTCTCCATATCATCATTCTTAGATATCCCAACATCATTTTTTTTCAAAGATGTATTGATAGTTATGTGTATCAGTGGATCTCTGTGCACCACATGCATGCAATGCCCAGGGAAGGCAGAAGAGGGCGTCAGATCTCCCTAGGACTGGAGCTCTAGGTGGCTGCGAGGGGCATGCCGGTGTTAGGAACAGAACCGAGTCCTCTGGAAGAGCAGCCAGCCTCTTAACTGCTGGGCTGTCTTGGCAGCCTCCCGCATTAATTATTAAGTAGGTATTTCCTTCACTCTACTATTTACCATCAGACTAATTCTGGTTTGTCGTATACTAAGTTACGCAAAGGCTTAAAATTAATGAAATTTCTGTATTATGATTTATTATTTATTTCCTTCATTGATGTTCTTTGACAGAAAAAAAAAACCTACAAACACTTAAAAGATAAAACGTCTTACCAACTAATATGTCTGAACTTTTTACTATCAGCTGTTCAAGTACTAAAACAACACTAGAAATAAATTGAACAGACATTTAAACTGACTCTATGCTTCACTAATACGTTAATTTAAAAAGTATGTCATCTTGGTTGCGCTCCGTTGCATTCATCAGAATTTTTGCTGTTTTCTGAGATACCACGTTTCTCCTGGGCCCTCCAACCGTCCTGTTACAGAGGAGCAGAACTGGAATCCTCCACCAGAAGCTTCGCACGGAAGCCCAGCCGTGTCCTCCCTGTCCGTGGATTTTCTCAGGCAAAGGGAGGCCTCAGATGCCCTCGGGAGCATGAGCAGCCTGTGATCACAAGACTGGAGTATCACTTACACAGGGCAGGGAGAGAATGGGGAGGCCAGGACACGTGTCTCCCAGCCTGCCCCAGTGCTCCATGGCCCTCTGCCAGCGTCAGGACGGAGCAAGCATCTAGATAACAGGAAACCGGGCTCTTTAACACTCAGGGTACCCCGGGGCTGGGCGGCGAGCTCCGGAGAAAAGAAAATTGAGGTACTGAGCTGATTTCTGGGATTTTCTTTACTCAACAGTTTTACAGAATTAAATCCCTTTTTACCAAATTGGGAACTGAGGACAGGAAAGGCCCAGCAAATAAAGAAAAGCACCTACGAATTTGAGGGTAGCGGTGCTAGCACAAATGCCTGGGAGGTGCTGTGCCCCTCAGCCGTCAGGAAGCTGAACACTCTACAACGGTCAATTTTAGCATAAAGCAAAGCGGATGAAAATATTTAATTATGTATTGATGCATTCGTGCGTGTGCACAGAGGACACACTTGGGTGACATTCCTCGGGTGCATCGACCGTTTTTTTTCCCCTCTTTTTGTCACATGGTCTCTCAGCGGCCAAGATGGCCAGGCAGGCTAAGCTGGCTTACAAAGAGTCCAAGGGATCTACCGGTCTCTGTTTCCCCGACACTGTGATGAAAAGCAGGCCATCTTTTTCTTTTTTTCTTTTCTGTTCCTTTTCCCCCCTTTCCTCTCTTTTCTTTCCCTTTTTAAAAATACGAGTCTGGGAATCAAATTCGGGCCATGCTTGCAGGGCAAGCACTTTATGGACTAGACTTTCTCAACACCCAAAATAAGTTTTGACTTTATAGGACTATGCATGAGTTGTCCATTGCAGGCTAAAGGTAGGTAGTAGACACAGTCCCAGGCCACACTGCCCTAGGGAAAACAAACACATGAACATCTTTCCATGATTCTTATACATCATACAACATAATGAAAGTTTCCTAAATTGTCTGCATGTAAAGTCCCTATTTAAGGGCACCCACGCGAAACACACAGTTTAGAAATCAGGAGTATCCAGCACTTGGGAGGCAGAGCCAGGCGGATCTCTGTGAGTTCGAGGCCAGCCTGGGCTACCAAGTGAGTTCCAGGAAAGGCGCAAAGCTACACAGAGAAACCCTGTCTCGAAAAACCAAAAAAAAAAAAAAAAAAAAAAAAAAAGAAATCAGGAGTATCAAGCAAAATGCTTCAGTTGAAACTACAATAAGCATATTTTTTAATGTTTATTTTTATTCGTGTTTATATGTGTGTGGCTGCATGAATTTATGTGTATCATGTGTGCGCAGCAACTAGAGTTACAGGCAGTTGTAAGCTGCCTGATGTGGGTGCTGGGAATTGAACTCAGATCCTCTGGAAGAGCAGTAACTACTTTTTAACAGCTGAGTCATCTCACCAGCCCCTGTCTCATTTATTATTATTATTATTATTATTATTATTATTATTATTATTATTATCATTATCATTATCATCATCATCATCATTATTATTGTTGTTGTTATTATTAAAACCCAGTAATTCTAGGAACTTTTCACTCTCTGCTGGTCAGTTCCCTTGTAAATTCACTTTTCTGATACTCGTCTCCATCAGAATTGAAGTGGCATAAATCAGTTCCCGTTCCATTCACCCACCTTTTCCTTTTCATCTTCCTACCAGTATTATTGACTGTTGCTTCTAGTTCCCAAACATTCTGTAGGACACTGATGGCACAGAACTCAGAAGGCTGTCACTGCCTGGGAGAGGAGCCCGTAGCATATGGGACGCATAGACCAGTGCTGCCTGCAAGGCTGTACCAGTGTAGTGTGACCAGAGTCCAAATAGAGGTTCTGGGTGTGCTCTGGAGGAATGGCCCTTAATGCATTACAGTGACAACTTGTATCGTTGATTTATTTTATCTTTATTTATGTATCTCTGTGTACATATGCCGTGTGTGTGTGTATGTGTGTGTGTGTGTGTGTGTGTGTGTGTGTGTGTGTGTGTGTGTGTGTTTGGAGACCAAAAGAAAATATCAGGTTCCCTGGAGCTGGAGTTCCAGGAGGTTGTGAACCGCCCGCTGTGGGTGCTGGGAACCAATTTCAGGTCCTCTGAGAAAGCAGCCAGCTCTCCTAACCACTGAGCCATCTCTGCACTTCCCTAAATATTTATGCTTTTAGTTTTAAAGTGTGTGTGTGTGTATGTGTGTGTGTGGGTGGGTGGGGGTCAGCATGTGCAAATGTGAGTACAGGTGCCCTCAGGGGCCAGAAGAAGGTGTCAGATCCTCTGGAACTGGAGTTATGAGTTGTTGTGAGGTGGTTGTGAGGTCCCCAACATGGACGCTGGAAAACAAATGTAGCAGTACACGCTCTAAACTGCTAAGCCATCTCTCCAGCTCCCACAACTTCTATTTTCAATGTCTTATGAAATGCTTATGGAAAAAAAAAAAAGAAAGATTCTGTTAGGAGAATTCGGAGCATAATTATTACGGGGCAAGGGAGAGGCAGGGAATCGTAAATCATAGGCAAGCTCCTGAAAGAAACTGCTCTCAGAAGGCCTTCTGCTATATGTAGAAACTGAGTCAGGCTGATCATGGGTTGCTCCAGGCATGGAAGCATGGATGCTCTCCAGTCCCCAGCCCCAGATGTGAACCAACCCCAATACAGGCAGACCGTACACTTCCTCAAGATGGATTTACAGCTTCCCTTTCCTGCTGGATCTCAGGACTGCTCCTTATTCTACCCAAGACAAGTATAGTTAGAATTTATGGTGTGGTGAATCTTACAATAACACCTCTCCTGCAAACATCTTCCGGCTTTGCTGACGCTTGTGAGTAAAGCCATTTAGATCTGACTTGATGGATTTTCCAAGTGCATTTTGAACTGGGTCCTCCAGAGTTTAGTGTTTCATTCAAAACATTCTATTCCTGTTCTTATAAACAAATGTTTAGCATGATATCAGAGATCTTTTTTTTTTAAATTTTAACCAAAGAACAACAATTTGATCTCGTTTGTGAAGGTCTTCACATGATTTCTTTGTTCTGGGAGACTTTGTTCATACAACCAACAAGACACACGATATCACTGAAGCAGAAGGAAAAAAAAAAAAAAACAGCCAGAAATCAAAGAGTAAAGTCTATTTGTTTTTTTGAGGGGGCGGTGTTTGAGACAGGGTTTCTCTGTGTAGTTTTAGTGCCTATCCTGGATCTCGCTCCTGTAGACCAGGCTAGCCTCGAACTCACAGAGATCCGCCTGGTTCTGCCTCCCGAGTGCTGGGATTAAAGGCATGTGCCACCACCACCCAGTGAGTATAGTCTATTATTGGTATGATTTTTTTTTAAAGAGAGAAAAATCTATTTATAAACAATAAACACATCATAGGATATCAAAAGGAAACCAAAGCTTCCTGTCCATCTGTCCATTCAAAGATTTTCCAGACTGGATAGAAGGAGGAAAAAAAAAATGTGATGGGGATCCCTAAGAAAGAAGGTCTGGCCGGTTGTGGTGGCGCATGCCAGTAGGATTTGCTGAAGGAGGCGGAAGCAGGAGGATCATGAGTTCGAGGCCAGCCTGGGCTACACATTTAAAAGAAAGAAAGAAGGTCTGTCCCAGGCAATGGAGGCTGCAAGACACCAGGGGAGACATGACTGGCTGGTGGTGGAGTGTCAGATTAGATGCAGCCCCATGGAGGGCATCCAGGAACAAGAGGAGCTCACAGGAGCAAATTCTGGGTGCCTGCTGGGTAGTTGACTGGTGTCCTGGGCCCTGGATGGCCCCGTTAAGTTTCACCTGCCACAGCATATTTGCAGACGCAACAGTGTAACACTTGGTATCCAAGGACACCGGTTGGCCCGAAGAGCCTCATGCCCAGAAGTGAGGGAAGTGTCAGAAGTGACCTTGAAGGAGCCGTGACTGAAGACAGGAGGAGGACCTGGCAGCACAGACAGACGGATGGAGATCCAGACCACGTGGCACTCTCTCTCTCCTAGTGTCAGCACTCTAGAAGTCCCCGGAATGTAGATGTCACCCGTTGGAAAGTGTGAGAGAAAAAGGCAAGGCGAGTAGTTGGCAGAATGAGACCTCTGGTTGCAATTAAGTTGCCTTGCACAGCTGGGTTTGGGAGCCAATACTCTTTCCTGTGGTAGCATTTGAGAGAGAGAGAGAGAGAGAGAGAGAGAGAGAGAGAGAGAGAGAGAGGAGAATTAGGAGAGGGTACTTCAGGGCAGCTTCTCGTTGATCTCCAGCCTGGACATTTCTATTAAATGGGTAAAGTTGGGGGTTGGGGATTTAGCTCAGTGGTAGAGCGCTTGCCTAGCAAGCTCAAGGCCCTGGGTTCGGTCCTCAGCTCCGGGGGGGGGGAAAAATGGGTAAAGTTGCTGTTTTCATGTATAAACTACATGGTGCCCGGAACCTAACAGCTGTTTAGCATATTTGATGAATAAATGCATAGGAGAATACTCTACTTCAACTTCTAGCCTACTGATTCTCCAATTTATCTACCTGCAATGAATTGCAACACATTTTATTGGCGTGGTGGAGCACTTCTGTAATCTCAACAATCCAGAGGTAACGGTAAGAAGTGATGCTAAAGAGTTCAGGATCATCCTCAGCTACAGAGCAAGCTCCAGGCCAGCCTGGAGTGAACGAGACTCTGTCTGAGTGAAAAAAAAGTTCTTGGTACTAATAAAGCAGCTGGAGCCCACCATAATTTTCATGCTTGTGGAATTTCATCATAAAGACTAGGAGTAATTAAATTAGCAGAAATATGAGTTTTCTGTAT